CTGTTTCATAGAGGTTCTTTCTTTCCCTTCTCTCTTTCTCACACGACCCATCAATCACTTACACATTAATAAATTATTATATGATCTATTAGTCTAAGATAATGTCATATAACTAAGTTTTATTAACCTTTTTTCATCGTGAATTGAAAAAGTTATATACGTGTCACATGAAGATTATTCAGACCACGGACACGTGCTGGTCTTTAACCATGTCATAATTTCTCTTCACAACACAGCGAGAAAATGTTACAGATGTAATATTGACATTTGTGTCTTCACTTATCGGTTTAAACTTTTGAAATGTTGATTCATGATACAATATGAGTCTATGTACGTATGTGACTTTGTGATCTTTAAGTTGATCCTTATCTACCCATTAGAAACTTATAGTTTGAATCCATTTCCAAAATTTTAAACTGCACATTAAGTAATTAACTTAGCTTATTATAATCATGATTTCATGAATATCATACGTGCTGGTATTTCAAAATGGTGTGTTTTTGTATGCTAGGGATGTGATGGTTCAGTTCTGATCGACTCCACTAAGGACAACACAGCAGAAAAGGATTCACCAGCAAATTTGAGTTTGAGAGGCTATGAAATCATAGATGAAATCAAGGAAGAGCTTGAAACACAATGCCCAGGAGTGGTTTCATGCGCTGATATTCTTGCTATGGCTGCTAGAGATGCAGTTTTCTTTGTAAGATGAAGCTTCTACACATTTCTTATTGGGAACCTTATTTTCCAAATATTGGGTGTAACAATCATGTGTTTAATTTTGATACACAATTAGCACAAAAGTTTATACACAAATAACCTATTAGAAAGCAATACTAGTTGATATAAATAATAATGACGAGTTTCTTAACTAAATTGTTTGTAGTTTAAATCTTGTCCTTAAATATAAAGATAGACTCGGAAGAAAAATATTCTTAAATATTAATTATTGTTTTCAGTCGTGAATGTTTCGTACTAATACTATATTTATAAAAAAAAACTTATATATAATTCTTAAAATAATTATTATAAAAGTCAATTATCTTATTATTCATATAAATCCCTGATTGAATGATATTTTCAAAGTGTGTATCTTAAATTTTTTTAATTAGATAATTGTAATTAAGTGGTATTAAAGTTCCATTTTACCTAATATTATTGTTTATGACATGTGCAGGCAGGGGGTCCTGTATATGACATACCAAAAGGAAGGAGGGATGGAACAAGGTCCAAAATTGAGGATACTATCAATCTGCCTTCTCCCATTTTCAATGCTTCTGAGCTCATCAAGATGTTCGGACAACATGGGTTTTCTGCAAGAGACATGGTGGCTCTCTCAGGTAATATAATATAATGTGCTTCTCTGCTTTTGCTATTTTTATCATGTACTGTTGAATTAGTTCAAAGAACATGCCATGTGTTAAATAGGAAATTCTGACATGTTTCTAAATTAGTAAACACTAATTAAAGTTTTAAAACATGGTTAATAGTTTGGTTGATGCACGGAGGAAAAAGCACTCACAAATGAGTGGATGAAAAAAAAATGTAGTGTGTAGTAGGGTAATGGATCAAAGAAATTGATTAATTCATTTGCATTTTGTGAGGTATGGGAGGGATTCTTCTAGCTGGTGTTTGGAAAGTGGAAACATTACACTTATAAACATACCATTAATCATTATTTTTCACTGTGTTTAACTTTGAGAGGACTTCAACCTTAGAATTTCCCCGATTAATGGAGAATTCTCCGTACTCATTAATTTAACTAACATATTTTCAATGACAATTTGAATAATATAAACTTGCCGGAGATTTATACCTAATACAGTACATTTTTGTTATGGAAAATTAGAGATCTTAATCCACAAAAAGTAAAAACACAATTTTATAACTCTTCTTTAATTTATGTTAAGCGGGTCTGATTATTCATTTTGAATACTTTGATCTTGAATAATCGTTAAACTTTTTCTAATAAAATTTTCTTGACATGACAAAAATATATCGTAACATAAATACATAAATACAATACATTAAAATAAACCAAATCATATATCCTAAACTCTAGCATAAATTCATTATATTTTTGTCATGTCATGAAAAATTTATTAGAAAAAATCTAACAATTGTTCAAGATTAAAATATTTAAAATGAATAACCAAACTCATTTTAACCTTAAAAAGAGGAGTAAGTTGTGTTTTGGTGCATTAATATCTTTGATTTTTTTTTTAGATATATTTCAAGAAAAACTTAACATAAATATCTTTGACCTTAGTTGTCATATATAATTATGATGTTAAAGTATTTGACTTAATCAAAATAGTTTATTTTAATCGATTTTGAGTTAGAGGTACAATTTTAGATTAATGAAAATATTATCATTTAGGTGATTGTTTATGTTTTATTTACCAATGACTAGTCGATTATCAAACATTTCACCACACTTTTCTACTATGCCACACTTAAAAATCAATTTCTTTTATGACACTTATTCCATACAACTTAAAAAACCTTTCATATACGAATAGTTAGAAAAGAAAAATACATTAAAAAATATTGTGTATATGTTCAACAATAAACAAGAAAAAAAATCTGCAAGTTTAGCTTTTTTTTTTTTTTTTTTTTTCATGAACTTTGATTGAGTTTAATTCAACTATTTTCAACCACACCCATCATGATTGGAGATTTTGAGGGTGCAGGAGCTCACACATTAGGAGTGGCAAGGTGTTCTTCGTTCAAGAACAGGCTGAGGCCAGTGGATCCATCTCTGGACTCGGAATTCGCAAAGACACTCTCCAAGACATGCAGTGGTGGCGACAGTGCCGAGCAACCCTTGGACGCCACGAGGAACGATTTCGACAACATGTACTTCAACGCTTTGCTCTCCAAAAACGGCCTTCTAACCTCCGACCAAACCTTGTACACTAGCCCACAAACCAGGAACATTGTCAACTCTTATGCCATGAACCAGGCCTTGTTTTTCTTGGATTTTCAGCAGGGGATGCTCAAGATGAGCATGCTCGATGTCAAACAAGGCTCCAAGGGGGAAGTACGGACAAATTGTCGTAAAATAAACTGAATTGTATTATTCATGTCAATTATCAAGTCGGAAGGAACAAGGATTTGTTGTTCAGCACACACTATGAATTATGAATAATGTCTATGGTTTACTCTCTATAATTGTTTCTATGAATTGAAGAGCATTTATATATGTTAATATTAAGAATGTATTTGGGTTTATTTTTTTTTAAAAAAGTAATTAATTTTTTTGTCTGTTTTTCTAACAGTTTTTTTTTTTTTTAAGTGATTGTTAAGTCACAGTTTTTCTAACAGTTATTTAAGCATTTAAAAGAATATATGATAACGTTTTGTAAAAAATAAATGTCTTTTTTAATGATTTTATGTAAAATACAAAGTGGCTCAAAAATAGTAAAATGCAAAGTATTTTTTTTTTAATCTTATTACAATTATAATAATTGTTTTTATTTTTGACAAAATACCACATACCTTTAAAAAATCAATCATATTCAAGTTACATAATCAATCACCCTATATAAAAATGCGAACGATTATTTTAAAATCATTCTTATATGTTATTATTTGATGGAATCGTTTCTAAAGATTTTTTTTTATAATCTCTTATCTAATTCCATTTTTTAATTTATCGTATTTAATTATGAATTAAATTTTAATATCTTAAAATATATTCTTAGTCTCACGATATAAATTATTTAACTTAAATCTAAAATATAATTTATATATTTAAAAATATTTAATCATACAATCTTTAAATATAAATTTCATATTGAAATGTAATATTTATTTATATATAATCATCTCTTATATATATATTAAATATATACTACTATCTTATGTCGTACAAATTTTAGGAACTTTTATTTAATGAGAAAGAGCTTTAAAGATTTTTTTAAAAATTTTTATTTATCAATTACATTTTAATTATTTTAAAATAAACCAATTTTTAAATATTAAAAACAAATTACTATTTTTCATTAGAGTGTTTTTAGAATTTTTTTTTAGAAGAAGATTTTTAAGAATTTTCTCAACTTCTTATCTAATTCGATTTTTATTTATCACTAGTATTTTAATCTATGCCCAGACTAAATGTTTATTATATGTAACTAAAATTTATAATAAATTATATATATATAAATATTATATTTAAATATATACAAATATATTTAAAATTTATATAAATAACTACTTTTAAACAAATAAATTATATTTTAAATTTATGATAAATAATATTATTGCAGCACAATATTATTTTTATTTATTAGTATTTTATTCTAAAATATTAAAATTTAATTTATAAAATAAATATAAAAATAAAATTAAATTATATAGGGAGTTACAAAAATTCTTAAAAACTCTTCTATCGAAGAAAAGTTTCTAAAAATACCTTTATACAAGATAGAGATTTGTGTGTAATAATTGATAATTATTTGTAAATTAAATTTTAAATATAATTTATATATTTAAACATAATATTTATTTTTATATATAATTTTTTAAATTTTAATCATATATAATAAATATTTAACTCGTGATAGGCTTAAATATTAGTTAATTATAAGATTTAGTTATATATTCAAAATATTGGTTATTATAAATCATTAAACTTTCTCTACAGATACCAGATATTTTAAATTTAAATTTAGTTATATATTCAATTTATGGAACATAAAAGTTGGAAAAAGACATACTATTCAGTTTTAGGATTGTTAGTAGGGTGATGATATATACACCTCCTATTTTTTATAAATACACTTTTAATTTCTTTTATAAAAATAAATTTTTTAAAATATTTTTCTAACTAAATATGATTATGTTGATTGAAATGTTAATTTTAGCATTCCGGAAAATATTATCCGGAATAGTAAAGTTATTGTTCCGGAAAGCATTTTTTGGAAGTGTTTCTTATATAATTCCGGAAAGTTCTTTCCGGAACATTAAATTTAGTATTCCGGAAAATATTTTTCGGAATTATGTAACAAACACACTTCCAGAAAATACTTTGCAGAATAAAAAAATTTACTATTCTTAAATATATTTTCCGGAACAAAAGTTTTATTATTCTAGAAAGCACTTTCCGAAACAAATAGTGAGAAGAATTACTTGGTGGAAAAAATGCATATGATTTGACACATTTCCCTTCGATACTGAATCCGCTTACAACTTATAACAAAACTAAAAAGGAAAGAACATAATGCAGAAATTAAAAAGGAAAAAAGGGAAGGTAAGGAGGTGCATGAGAATAATTTAAGAATTTATTATTTTTTTTAAAAAAAGGGAGTATTATTTATAAAGAAATGGGGGTGTGTATATCATTTCCCTTGTTAGTAATATATCAGTTTGGCAATTAGGGCCCAATTTCGAAGCCCAACTTTCCTCGTATCCTCACAATTACAAGAAAAACAAAAACAAGAAATAACAAAGAGAAAGCCATCAATGAGCCAAGCTGGGTTTCAGTTGAGTGGAGTCGTTGTGATATCATCGTCAAAATTCCACACACAATTTCTGAAAATCGAAGCAACTTTGAGTAGTTAGTTACTGTTCGTTTCCGCAACCACAGATCCTTTGTTTCTTCCTTTCCATTTTCCCGTGGGAAAGCAATGGAAAAGATGAGCAGAGCCTTCGACAAAGTGAAGATGATGGTGGGAATGGAAGTGGAGGACGAAGAACAACGAACTGCGGCATTGGGAGAAAGCAACTCCTTCGCGTTGATGGACGAATTCAACCGCAACTGCACCTTGTCCACCACACAGGTCTTTTCCTTCGCTCCATTTTCCTTCTCATTCACAAATTCTATTCGTTACTTGTAAAAATACAATACATAGCGATGAGGTAGAAAAGGAAAACAATAACTGAAAAATGGATATGCTCCATTTTAGACTTGGATCTGATCCTTAATTGTGGTTTTTGACTTTGCCATGTTTTATTTTAGCATTTTGATTTGATTCTCCGTTAATATCATTTTAAAGGTTAAGATGTTTTGGTATTTTGATTTGATTTGATTTACTGTTTTCAGATCAGAAGTTGTAGTTTGTATATAAGGCTGGAAGATAGGTCATAGGTGCGTGAGAAGTTTTGATCTGTTTGTTACACGAGGAAAGCTTATAATTCTCTCAATAACCATGCATGCTTTTTTATCAAATGTACTGTGCCATGTACCGCGAACTGGGTTCACTTTAAGGAAGGTCTTATAATAGTAATGTAGAAGGTGATGAACCATGATATGTTGACCTACTTGAATCACATACCCATACCTGTATCATGTATCCGATAACTTTGAGCTACTCTACTTGAGAACAAGTCACATCGAGGTTTATTTGGCTCTACTCGCCAAATTCGGTTTACAGTGTTCTTGAGGAAAATTAGCTATTAGCAAAGTAATTTCCTCTAGTGATATTTTTAACCATTAATGTGCGGGGAGCACAGGTGTTGGATACTGAGAAGTTATTACAGTGTTTCAATCCACAAATGGTATGGATTTGAGAAATCAACTCGAGAAAATATAGAGATGATATTTTCTGATAGAAATTATCATTGTAGATTGTTGTGTACTGTTGAAGTTTGGAGGTGATAAATGAGAATGAATTACAGGGTTTGAAATGGCACCCCTACAGCGCTGTGGAGTGGACCCTGCGTGCTATAGGGTCTGCTTTAGTGTAGCAGCTGTAGCGCACCAAATAATGGCCGTAGTGACGCAATGTGTTGATAAAAGCCCTCAGAAAGGAGACATTAGGGATTTTTTCGGGGGGCTATTTTTGGGATTTCAATTTTCAAAACTGAAATCTAAAGCTGTTATAGTAGTGAAAATGATAAAGAAGAAGACTTGGATTTTGAAGATGATGATTGATAATTGATGGTTCATATCTAGGAAACTTGTATTTGACTTTTGTTGGAATTTACTTGTATATTTTGTTCAAGGCACAACTTTTTTTATTGTTAATTGTGAATGTCAAGAACTGAGTAATTTTTATCATTTTTGAGAACTTATAACTATATAATTTTTTTTAAAATGGTGACTATTCTACTATCTTGCTATTCTGTTTTTGGGTCCAGCCACTAAGTTCTGCTATCTGAGATTTATAACTTTGGATTCACTGATGGATCACGGAGTAACTAAATTTCTTCACAAAATCATTCATAAAAGGGTGAAATAAAGGAAATATTTGTTAGAAGATGAAGTGAACTGGATGACTGGAGTACATTTCATTTGGACGGAAATGTTTACATTGTCTTATTGAACTAACATTCAATAACTCTTAGGTTCATATGTGGTATAATATGTGACCAGTGACCACTGACTTGGTTAATGACTGGAGATATGCAGTCTATACTCTATAGAGGTATCATGTTTTTAGGTTCCTGAGAATAAAGTCTCAATACACTGTGTAGTTTAAAATATACAATCATATCTCCTGTTTCAAACAAAAATGGTTTTGGAGGATAATATCTTTGCTGTTTGGAGGATGATATCTTTGTTGTTTGGAGGACCTAGAAAGGCAAGAACTACATGCTGGTTTAGATTGGTTTTAGGAATTTAGAAAATTGAACTAAAGGAAGCTTAGGACTTTGAGGAGCATTATGATATTCTCTCTCTCTCTCTCTCTCTCTATATGTTTTCTTAATTGTTCCATTCACATTACCTATTATTGTTGGGGATTTGTTTGTTAGGACTCGGATTATAGAAAATGCCTGAAATATTAGTTTTTCTTGATTTTTTGTGAGACCTGAATAACTCTTATGATTATGGCCATTAGGCTGTTTTTAGCATCTTTCTCTAGTCTCAATATAGTCCCTCTTTTCTCCTATATTTGTGATTTTTTTACTATATTGTGCATCAATATAATGTTTTTTTCTTTACCCAAACTTGTCATATTGAAATATTCATTTGATTCATCTAACATGTTTCTATTTGTAAATTGTCTTTCATAGTTTAACTAAAACACTTTCTGTCTGTGACCAGAGACTATACGGTTTTGCCATATGCTTTGCTGCTGGATTAACTTGTACACTACTGGTAAGTTTGACATTATGATTTTTGTGGTTAAGTAAGTGAAGCTTGTATGCGAGTTCTTCAGTTCAGTGTAGAATATTAATCTTAAGCTTGAATACTAATTTTAAATTTGGCTACGCAAGTACATGTAAGCTTTTGAGTTTTGACTACTTGATTGTTTGTAATTTTTGTTCTAAGTTAGAATTACTGGTTCTCTATATTTTTATTTTAGAAAAAGCTACTTATATGCTTGATGTTTTCTTTATTCTTTTATCTTTACGCAGTTCAACTTGGTACCATATTAGTTTAACATCCTCTTTGATAACATCATGATCACAATTCAACTTGAAAAAATCTTATAGAAGTTAGATTCGAAATGTAATATATAATTTCTCTGATATATAGTTTTAAGTTATTTATAATTTATATGTGGCTTCTGTTGGAGATCCCACATTGTCTAGGAATAAGGTCGTAATAGTGTATATAAGTGGAGAACAATTTTCACCATACAAGACAGTTTTGTAAGGTTGAATTAGGCTCCTAATCCACTTTCTAAGAGCTTCTAAGTATTTCTAAAGGCAGTCCAGTGGATGTGGCTCCTATTACACTAGCAGTGTGGGCTCTAGGGACTGGGGAAAATCATATATATGCACCTTGTCCCAGTGAATGTTCCTTCAACTAGTATCACATATGACCAATGAAGTCGTAACCCAAGGCAGCAACCTTGCCATTGTGATTTGTTCACCATTAGATTGTGTTATTATGATTTTTCAATAATTTTTCAATAATTATTCAATAATTATTAATACTGCCAACTTGGTAGTGGTGAGACAGAAATTTCCTTATAGTTATAGAACATAAACAATAAACTCATATTTTTGGATTCTGTTAAATCAATAATTGGAATTGAGTAGATTATTATTATTATTTTTTACATACATACAATATGAGGATAGTGAACAAATCTGATATTAGTTTCTCATCTTTTTTCATGGAAGTTTGATGGGAATGTAATTCTTTTCACTTCCTTTCTGAAAACATGACTTACAACTATTACTCTCTCTACTTTAATGTAGAATTTTAGATTTTTCACTCAAATTTATATTGGCAGACAAGAATAAGCACCAACTAATGGCATTTCCCTCCCCCATGTTTCAGTCTATGCTTGTTTTCTTCAAACCAATCAAGTTTGCGATAACATTCACTCTTGGGAATTTGCTTTCACTCGGAAGGTATGATCTGTTTTACAGCTGTATAATTACATTATGATGGTGAGTTCCATGTGCTTTGCAATTTAATTTATTAGAATCATGGATAAATTTAGACAGTCTCTAGTTCACGGATTTCCATTGACAGGTTTCAAATATTCTGTTGTTGTCAGTAATGGAAAACAGTTTTTTTTTTTTTTTTTTTGGGGGGGGGGGGGGGGGTTCCTTCTTTTC